CTGCACTTCCAGCCTCTCTCCACACCTGGTGCTCCTTTGGGCATTCTGGGCTTCCTTCTGAAGGTCAGGACAGAATATCTGCCCTCTAACTGAATCAATCAATTAGTTTAAAATGTTATATCATTAATTGACTCACATTGATTTAAATCAGTCGACAGCCCTACATTAAACTGAAAATGAACAAACTCCTCCACAGAAATGCCATGGATGGAAATACCAGAACGAAGAAAGTAATTTATTGCTGGAGATGTAGAACTACTGAGCACTGCCTGCAAAAGAAAAAACTCTTGAGAGCCCAAACAGAGGTTTCTTTAAATCTGTGCTGGCAGCTACACCTTTTTTCATTCTTATTCGACCTGCTTCTTCAAAGACCTCCATCCCCCTCTGCCCAATCACCTCCACCATTATTCCCACTCTGCAGTGGGTGAACATGAGCCTCCAAGTTCGTGGACCCACGCCCATCTCCATTGGATCGTATCTTTAGTAACTAGGCGGAGTGGAAGGGTGGCAACAGTGGAATAAAAGCAGAGTGGTGTCCAGACCTGTGTATGAATCTGCCGTCAAAGTGCAGTATATGAGAACAGTGCTATCACGGGCTCAAGTGCTGGCTTACCAGAGCACTTACTGTTTTACACAGCGGGGGGGGGGGGCGTTGCAGGAACGGCGTGATGGTCTAGATGTAAGGGGATCCTGTGGCAGATCAGCATGCACAGAGGCAAGGACCAGGATGAAGGCCGTGACTCCTGCTGCTGCTGCACTCTCCCAGCCCAAATGATGGTGCAGTGGAACTGCCAAGGGAGGGGGGACCTGGGAGCGGGCTGAGAGGCAGTTTTCCCTCCCCTCCACACCACGGCTACACAGTCGGGGCAGCTTCGCATGCCCATGCAGACTGCCATGGCTTTGCCCTGAACATAGTGTCATTACTTTGGACTTCAGTCAGCCAGGGAAGGAATTTTACTGGGAAGGAATTTTACTTGGCAAGGCTGATTGGCCTGGAAACAGAGGCATTCCTCATAGAAACATAGCCCTGGTTCACATACAATGACAACCCAGAGCATGAGTTGTCGTAGACCCAGAGTTTACGCATGACTTGTCTGCTAGACATTTTTTTTAAAATTCTTGAGTTGTTTGATTGATCTTCCTTTGCACACACACATCCCACCCCATATCAGAAATGCTCTTGGGGTGTTATAATACTGGCCTGTAGGACAGGCAGGGTTGTGGTTTTGCTTTGTTGTTTTGTTTGTTGGGGTTTTTTTAACCATTCTGTAGTATGGCAATACATGAACCACCCACGGCTCCAGCTTTCACATAATGATAACTAATAGTTAAAACAGCCCAGAGTTTACAACCCAGCAACAAACCATCAGTTCTGTTCCTGGGTTGTTCATATGTAATAACATGTAGTTCCAAGTTCACAGATAATGGCATCCTATGACTCAATGTCCCATACTCAGTCCATGTTAGGTGTTGTTCTTACATGTGGATTAACATAAGTTGGAGAGGGGCTTGTGGGCCATCTGCTCAATACAGGAAATTAAGGCTAGAGCATCTGGAGCAGCCTCTGGCTGAAGATCTCCAACAAGGGAGAGCCCATCACCTCTCTCAACATTTTGTTCCATTGCTGAACTGCCCTTGAAGAAAAATCCCATGCTATGCAAGACTCAGGGAAAGGACTAGCACCTCACTCACTGTGGACCATTTACAGGACAAAAAGATACAGTGCATAAATCTTAAGGAATTGAAGTGCTCTTTAATTCAAGAACTTCAGCATCTGGATTCAGGACATGTGCCCCAGTATCCAAACACTACATGATATAAAACACTGCAAAGTCGCTTTGGGACCCCCCCCCCCACTCCCCAATCCAAACAGGCAAAGCAAACAACCCCAACAGAGGAGCCATCACTTCAGACCAGTGAGGAACATTTGTATAACAAAATGATACAGCACTCCTTTGAGACAGCAGATCCAATTTTTACAGAATAGAGGCAGGGGGAGCACAGTTTTATTGCTGAGGAGTGCTGCAGCAGTGAAGACTAGCATCCTGCCAAAGACCCATTTTCTTTTAAGCCCTGCCAGTACATATGCCAAGGGAGACTATAAATGTCATCAGGCATTGTTTTCCTAAGTTTGAGGTTAGGGAATACATTGCAAAGCATCAACAGTCCAGTGCTAACAAGGTGAAGGGGGAGGGTATGAGTGGTCCTTCTTCAGTGGTGAGATACAGATGAGCAAATTTGCTATGTATAAGGTGACAATCCAGCACTTTGCAAACCAAAGGGTGCTGCTTTGCTCACATATTCTTCTCTCACCCTATCCCCGACCTTCATTGAAGGTCCTCATTAGAAAGAACATTTTTGATAGGGGAGGTTCTTCAACAGCCATGTTAAACATAAAGGAAGGGAAGGGATGAACAACCTCAGATCCAGGAACCAGATACTTGGGGCCAGGTTCTCCAGATGTCTCCCGATGGCCCATTGTGCCATTAAATACTCTATAATGCCAGTGAATGCTTGGAGAAGCTACAATAAAAGCCACAGCGTAGTAACAATAAAATATTTTCAAACTCATTTGACTGAGTTTGATTCATCTGCCATGCGTTCATCATTTATTACTCTTAGGATAGGTCATCTGTTCATTAGTTTGGCAGATCCGGAAATGACATCAGCCAAGTCCGTATTTCTTCAGTTTAGGTCATTAAAAATGCCAGTAATTTCAACCTTGTCCTTCTATTCATGTTCCATAATGCTCTAAAGCATGGCTGTTCTGATGTTTAAGATCATCACAATGGAAATGCTGTGTATGTTCACGCATGCTATGTGCAGATGGCAAGCACATAAAGGAAGCACATTAATTTCTAAATCAGCAGGAAAACCCAGCTACAATTTTTGTAAAGTTGACTCATCTTCCACATTTGCAAATGAATGTGAAGTTACCTTTACAAGCATGAAGTACTAAGATTTGTTAAATAACCATAACTAGCCCAATTGATGAATGTAGCTCTGTTTTAAGTAAATAAATAAAGGCATTCCAGCTGGCAAATTACACCATAAATGGCTATCTTCAGAAGGAACTGTTTTATTCACAGCTTGCTAACTGATAAGAAAACTTTACCAAATCAGATCTTGCTCTCTTGTGTCTTTACTGTAATGATGAAGGCATAAGGCAAGAAAGGAGGGCCATGACAACTCGCATACATTCAAGTATGTAATTACTGAAAACAGCAACACAGAATAAAAGGAAATAGATGATCGACCGCTGCCCCCCATTGTATGAGGAGTTACCTTTAACTGCTTTGCTTTTTTGCAGTCGGGCCTTTTCCTCTGTTCTCATTACATGGAAACAATAAAATGTTTAGGTTGCAATCTAACTCATATGCAGCAACAAGAGTCCTGAGTAGAGATTCACATGAATAGACACAGTTTAGGTGCACAGTCAAAGCAGAACCCTGCTGACTGTGTGTGAGGAAGGCTGTGACCATGTGAAGAACTCAGTTACTGAACTGGTCGTAAGAATATAACAAAAAACAATTAAATTCACTGCATGGTTGACTTTCAATTGGCATGGTTATCATCACCGACAACATCCTTTTAATGGACTTGTATTTTAAGATTTCTACTTGCTCCTTCCTAGCATTTCTTATCTCCCCTTAGCTGAAGTTTACATTAACAGAAGAGAATTTGGTTGTGCCCAAGCTTAGAAGGTGTGCATCCTTTCGCTAAGTGTGGTTTCATACTAGTCTTTGGCCATGCTCTCTGCCATATCTGATGAAGAATCATCAACCCGTGCTTTCTCACCAAGTTGTTGCTTGCAGGGGGCATCCTTACCTTAAAAAAAGAAAATAATCAAGGAAAGAAAGAATAGCTGCATAATGTCTTTTGATCGCTGGTGCAGGGAGCTTACACACAGAAAACCATGGGATTTTGTTCAAAGACTAACTCAGTGATTGCGGGTCCTTAAAAACCGAGCATCTGTCTCCTCTTCCATCTACATACGGCACAATCTTGTGCACACCCTGAGTGAACTGAGAGTGCACTATGAAATATTTCCAACACTCTTGCAGCAGTGCATTAAAACCACCATGTAACAAACTATCTTTTAAGAGCCCTTGTAGCTATTACTGATCCAGCAACTCCATTTACTTCCCCATCAGGGTTGCATGGAATACAATTTGAAAAAGACTGTACTAAATTATAGCACTTGTTACACAACAAAGCTCTCTGATAAACTATTCAATTTAGGGTGGGTCTTACTCAATAGTAATGCTTAAGCCAGCTGTGCCTTGGAGATTCAGAGTATAAACCTCACTTTGCTTCCTTTCCTTGGCAGTATGCCTGGAGAGCTCTCTATCCTATGAATGTGAGGAGGGCTCTGATTTTTTCTGCATCAAAATGCATTTTTGTAGTGACAGCAACACCTGGTGGAAAATAGGAGAATAATCAAAAGCATATACAGGATGGTGCAGGGAATCTGGAAATTTTGGAACTAGGAGTTGGCGACCCTGGGACGTCGGCAATTGCTTGGAACCTGTGTGACCTCGTTTAGAAGCCCTTGCCATTCGTTATAATGGAGCAGTGGAGTGGCATACAATGAGCATTCCCTATAAAAAGCTTTTTATAAGAAAGGTGATAGTGTGACTGCTGCGCAAAGGAAATTTCGGCATCATTATAGTTAGGACTGGTAATGATAGTGTTATTTATTTGGGATATTTCTATCCCGTCCTACTCAAACGTCTCAGGACGTTATGACCACCGTCAAGCTCTGGGTTCATTCAAGAAGCTCGTAGTCTGCGAACCTGAAGCTGACGCTCAATGTAAACGCCCTCACACGCCCGATACTCTCATGACTCCCCTTCCTCCGGTTCTTAGTTCGGGCAGCTCTCTTCATCGCCTGCATCGCGCAAGCGCAAACCAAGCGCCAAATAGATTTTGTGTGTGTGTGTGTGTCCATGCAGAGCCGCCGTACTGAAGCAGAAAGACTTTGGGCGGCGCCAGCTTTCCGCGGTTTCCGTAGTACGTAAGTAAACATGGCGGAGTATTCCCTCGTTAAAAGGACCAAGCTGGTTCTTAAGGGGTCGAAGTCAAAAAGGTGAGATGTTTTTCTGTTCGAGTCTCCCCAGGGATGTGGGAAGAGAAGACGAGGAGGAGGAAGCGGTTTTCTTCCTTCCGTACAATTCTCGAAAATTGTAGCCTCGAAGCCTGTTGGTAGCGTCGAAATCATAATTCCGGAGTGCCTCTGAGCTTGTACGGAGTGTCTTTTCTTCACTGCTGTCATAACTGATAGATTCACGCATTTGAGATACAGGAGGTCACTGCTGCGGGGCGGAAAGTGTGTCCTTCGATCTCCGGTGTTTGTTTTGAGAAAGCAAAGTGTACTCTTTGAGGGCCCAAGAAGACGGGCAGAAAATTCCTGAGTAAGGCTAGGAATGACGGTTTTCGCTGCTGTTCGGCATACTACTTCAAGATGTGGAGGTGCTATTTTGCTCCTTCACAAGTATAACATAAATCAGTTTTCCCTAACCAGGTGCTGGACTACAATTCCCAGCAATTCTGACCATTGACCATACTAGCAAGGGCTGATGAGAGTTGAAAGTAAAAACGGAGGGTACCAAGTTAGGGAAATCTCCCTTAATAATTCATAATTAGCTTGGCAGACACGGAATTACCCTGGGTCTTGCATAAACAGGATATCGTCTAATGTAAATGAAATATCTTAATTACTTACGTTTTTTCATACCTTTTCCTCTATCAAATGCCTGAAATGCAGTGGTTGTATTAGTAAAAATAATTACTCAAATCCACCCTGAGGTTTTGTAATCAGTTGTGTATCTTTTGTCACATAACTTATTTTCCAATTTTAACAATACCATTCTGTGTTACTTTGTCCATCTGTATCTATTCATTGTTCATGCTTATTACTTTTTTCCTAAATATCCCCTATTTGAGCATAAGACTCAACAGGATCCCTGGTTTAGCATCTGCACTTTTCTCTGCTCCTACTCTGATTTAAATGTGATATGTTTGGAAGTAAGGGGAAGTGTAAAATAGAATTTTGTAAAATTTACCTGTTGTCACATTTGTGACTAATACTGTAAAATGAATTTGGATAGTCATGGAGCTTTCTAGGCAGGTGGGATATAAAAATCCCCAAGTATTTATTTAGTAATTTCTTGTATTTTTGTATTGCCTATTTTAAGCCAATCAAGATGGTTTATAAAAATACCAGAAAAATTAAAAATGTATGCCTTTTTTCTCTGCTGCTCTTGAATGCCACTGATTCATTTTCCCTTGTATGTCATTATTTAGTAAGAAAAAAAATAAAGATAAAAAAAGGAAAAGAGAAGAAAATGTTGAAGATCAGCTTGATATTGTTGGTAAGCTCACTTTTTTATAGAAGCAAATAAATGAGGAATTGACAAAGAATAGCATTTTTCAGAAAGTGTTCTTTCATATGGTTACCAGGCAAAGACCTCTTTGTTTTAAAATAAAACAGGTATTATTGTTTTCACTGGGACAGAGGGTTTATTTTTAAATGTGTTTGCTAGTCTGTCTGCTTCCTATATAGGCATAATATATTCTGTATGCTTTTTCCAGGCTTGACTAAGATTACAGTCTTTCTTCCCTCTCCTCACAATGGTGATAGCTGGAGGGCACTAAGGCTTCATCTTGGGCTTTGCAGGGTGGGAGGGGAAGAGGTTGCTGCCAGGGTGGTGGACATTCTCACTGTTTTATCCAAAGACACCCCCATTCCCCTAGATGGGTCCAGGTTCAGGCCCATTTGCTATGCCATCATCCATCCAGGCGTAGCTAATTCCTTACCCCAGCCACCCTCACAAATCCTATTGCTTAAACTTCACAGTTCCATTGCACTGAAAAGCCTAGTGAAACCCTTCCCATACCTTCTGCATGTGCTGGCATGGCACAGACAAGTGGTGCTTGGCTTGTTGTGGGAGATTACTGGCTCAGCTTTTCCATAACTGCCCTTAGGACTTTTCTGCCAACCAACAAGTGTTTGAATATTCAGTATTCTTAAGTGTTCAGAACACTTTGTATATATTATTTCATTGTAACCCCTACAACAAACCAGGAATATAGATCAGTGTTATCTCCATTTAGCCAATGGAGCACTGAGTATGTTTTTGCTTCACAATCAATGTGCAATATAGAATCTATTTTTTTCTGAATGTTGAGAATTTGGACTTTTTAAAGGAAATTACATATCTTTATGGTTTAATAATCATTTTATATATCATTCTTCTATCAAGAAGCTCAGGGTGGCTTTCTCCACTTTTACCCTTACAGTAACACAGAGGTATGTTTGGCTCAAAGATCGTGATTTCACAGAGTGCCTAGTGAGCTTTATTGGTGAATTGGGATTTGAACTTGACTCTCTCCAGTCCTAGTCCAACACTCTAACCACTACACCATACTTTCATGCTGCTTCACTCCATTGTTGTTTTCTCGTTCTATAAGCTAAGACACAAATGATTAATTGAACATTACTAGCACTCAAGGCAACCTCTATGCTTCAATTGAGCATGACGGAAGCAGTCACAATATTGCCTCTGTACTTTCTGAATTACCAAATCACTGTTAACTGTGTTTCAGTGTAATTCATGATGCCATGTTGCATAACATCAGCTTATGTTGTAATTAAATATACTGTCAATTTTTCTGAAGGAACCCCATTGCTTTATATATACCTTCAGGTATTTAATGTTGACCACTTTCAAGAAAGGAGGACTTGTCTCTTCCAAATTGAAGATGATAAAGTAATCCTTGGGGGGGAAAAGTAATGTATTTGTTACTGAAATTTGTATGTTTGCTGATTAAACAACTTCCTGGTTGTCAGCATTTTCCATTGAAATAAAATGATAAAAGCTGTTTCAACACCTGGTATCTTCAGATGTATTCTTGTTTTCTTCTTGTTTCCTCTTATACATTAGAAGGCTGGTGGACGGTAACAAATTTTGGTGACATCACAGGAACCGTAGCAATAGAGATGGGTCTTGGAACCTATATCAGTGCCCTTGACAATGGTCTTTTTACTCTTGGAATCCCACATAAAGGTTGGTATTGGTAAAAGAAGAGAGGGACTTCGAAGGTTATTTTATTTATTATATATTTTAATCTGTTCAGTGGCAGTCATACAATGCAACCTCTTAAAGCAGACTTCCATAATCTAGTGCCATCCAGATGCATTGGGCCCTAACTTCCATCAGCCACAGACAGCATACCCAGTGGCAGGAATGGTGGATGCTGTGCTTCAAAGTATTTGGAGGCACCAGTTTAGGGACGGTTGTCTTACAGCATTCTATATCTTTCTGTACCATTAGCTGCATTGTAACACAGTTTTGCAAATAAGTGCAAAACAGATTTGCACTTATTTGCAAAACTGCCTGCCTGCAGCAGGTGAATAGCATGAAATAAAGAAGCAAGTCTTTTCAGTTCAGCAATGTAAGTGTCATCACTCTTTGGATAAAGTGTGCTGTCCATACATTTTAGTTGTTAGTTTAAGCTAATGTACCTGTGTTAGATTATTAGACTATAGATTGTACAAATTTGCTTCTTATTCTTTCATTCATGTGTTTTTTACATTTCTCATAAAGCCTACCCGTTGCATTACAATAGCTGATTACTCTGGAATATAGATAAAAGTTTGCAGTGCAAGTGACAAGTAACAGGGAAGGATTTTAAAATCCCCAGTATTGTGGGTACACTTTCAAGACTTGTGTATCAGGAATTGTTCCAAGTATCTCCAGTCCTAGAATATTGTCTAATGTCTTTTTAATATATTCAGATGAAGGTCCTACACCTCCTGAACAATTTACTGCTGTCAAGCTGTCGGAAACAAGGTAATTGCTCTTCTGGGCTATCATAAGGTTAATTATTGTAAACCCCATGTCTTTAAAAATAAAAGGAGCAATTTTAAACATGAAGCATGTGAAAGCAGTTTTGCTATGGATTTGTTACATGTCTTCCTTCTGTTATCGTACCCCTGAAACTCTGCACATTCAAGGAAGGCTATTTTTAGAGAAGAATTTTATAAGGATGAATGCTTCTGAGCATGTCATTTTCTTACTAATACACTGGATTATGTTAGGCGAAGCATAATTCATGTGCAGTTAAACACTTTGATGGCATGCTCTTGTGCAGATTGGACTTTCTTCCAATTTAAGTGTGTATAAGATTAGAGCAGGGGGTCTAGTCTTTTTGGCCCCTGGGGCATTTATTTGCAGGAATTTCTTTTCTTTTTACTGCTTAGATTCCCATGGATTACAGCTTATGTCCCACTGATTTCAGTGAGAGTTTTAAAAGCATGTGTTTAGCCCTATCCATGAGCTCACCTAAACATAGGAGGACTTAAACTCAGGGCATACATATAAGCCCTACCTGCAGATATGAGCCCTATCTGCCTGCACATGGGTTCTGTTGAGAGTTTTGCATCTTGAGTGCAAGATGAAGAGAGTCTGAAAAGATTTCCTGAGCATGTATAACTTAAACTCTTCCCATATAAGAGTGGTTTCCTGAGTGGTTCCCCTTTGGCCATGCCTACCAGGAGAAGCCTGGAGGCAGTGGATTTCTAGATGTCTTTCAGGGGTGTTTGTTCCCCTTTACTGTTCTTTTAGCTTTCTTAAGTGTTCTTTTACTATAGCTCTATAACGTTCGAATAGCAAGTTTTTGTATGAAATAAAAGTTTCTAGTTATTATTTGAATTCGAATGGATAAAAGGAAGTACTTCTTGTAGCACATAAAACTATGGAATTTACTTCCACAAGAGGTTGTGATGGCCATCAATTTGGACAACTTTAAAAGAGTACTAGACAAATTCTTGACAGGTAAGACTGTCAATGGCTACTCATCTTGAGCACTCTGTGCCACCTCCAGAGACAGTATGCCTGTGTACGCCAGTTGCTGGGGAACATGGGTAGGAAGGTGCTGTTAAACTCATGTCCTTATTGTGGGTTTCCCATAGTTAAGTGGTTGGCCACTCTCTGAACAGAATGCTGGGCTAGGGGGACCCTTGCTCTGATCCAGCAGGTGTACTCTTATCCCTGATAAGTGTTTCATTATCCTGGTAAACATCCAATAGCCCCCAGAGTTCTTCAGAATTTAGTTTAAAAGCATGAAACAAAGGCATGAAAGCAGCAATTACAGTAAAAGTCTGAGCAATTACTAATGCCATTACTGCTTCTTTTTCCTGTAAGAATTGCACTGAAATCAGGCTATGGCAAGTACCTTGGCATTAATTCCGATGGGCTGGTCATTGGACGTTCTGATGCAATTGGTACGAGGGAGCAGTGGGAGCCAGTGTTTGAAGAGGCAAGTGTTCAGCTGTCATTTTTAATGCATACCTGACACTTTTTCAGTTTTAGTTCCTCATCATTTGTGGGGGAAACCAGTGGCAGAGGACATGCTTTGCAAGCAGAAGGGCCTACTGTCTCCAGTGAGATAGGATCAGCAGTGGAAGGACAGCCAGTGCATAACAACAGAGAGTAATGGGCTAGATTAGGGGTGAGGATCTTCTGAGCTGCAAGCCAAATGCAGATCTTCGGATGCTTCTCAGGCTGTTCCTTGCCATGCTTCAGTTTTTTTGCTTTCCTTATTACATCCTGTAATGTAGTGGGTAGAGTGTTGGACTGGAGCTTAAGAAATTCAGGCTTCATTCTGCATGACTTTGGGCCACTCACTGTGGTTCACCTTAATGGCTTGTGAGGATAAAATGAAAAGAACTATAGAAGCCACCTTGGGTTGCTTGCAAGTTGAGGTAAAGGTGGGCTATAAATGAAGCCATCATCTTCCCACCATATTCCCCAACTGCAAAGCTGATGGAACTTTATACAAGGTAGGGAATGAGAATGCCTGGATAGGGATGTGTTGTTGTTGTTATTACATGGAGAAAAAGGTAAGAGATACATATTTAAGTCTGCCCCCTGGCCAAACCAACATTTAGTTCAGGCCATACCCACTACTGAAAGATAGACTTGCAGCAGGTTTTGAACCTGGTAATGCAGACCTCAGTGAGAAAAGATTTCTCACTCCTGTGCTAGAAGGACAAAGCAGCTGTATGACAGCTTCCCATGGTTTTCTCTTTGGAGGAGGAAGTTGAATTGAAACCAAGTGACGTGAGTGGAACATGCAATAACAAAATTTCCAAAGTGGCTGGTTCTCTTCAGATGAACCATATCCTTGAAAATCATTTTCAGCTTGTTAAGTATAAAGCAGACACAAACCAGGGCATCTCAACAGTGCTAATAGCCAAATGTGAAAGATACCACACAAAGGTTATCCTACCATTCACTCCTCTTGCTTCCATAAATCTTTATTCTTTTATTTACTTTATGCAGTTTGTTAGATATGAGACAAAGCGATCAGAGACAAAAGTATAGTAAACGAAGTTATGAAATATTTTATTAAATAGAATAAGAATGCTGATAATGTATGATAGCTGTAACTTTAAAAATGGATTGTTTTTATTTTGTCACTTTTCAAGTTTTCAAACTCCAAAATTGTGACACTCATAAAATGATTAAGAGGGCTAGTTGTGTGTTTAAAATCAACACATGAGTTCAGCTTTTGCATGGAAATAAAAGCATTTTAAATGAAGCACTGTTGCTGGTTTTCCAAGTTTAATTCTAACCCCATTAAAGCAATCTAGACTAAAAATCTTAAAACATTTTTGTTGCAAAATAATCATAGTATTGCTAATTTGGCTTGCTATTCTTTTTCCTTGCAGGGAAAAATGGCTCTCTTAGCAGCAAACAGTTGCTTTATCAGCTGTAATGAAGAAGGTGATATTGTAGCCAAAAGTAAAACAGCAGGCAATGAGGAAATGCTTAAGGTACCACCTGAAACAGCAGTTCTTATATTGATCTAAGTGAATACTATTACTTAAAGAATATATTACTTTAAGAAGAAAAATCAGACATGTCATCCTTTTCCATGTCATATTTCTTTATCAGCTGTCATAGGGAAAAATGAGTGATGATTATCTAATCCAGAGATAGGCATGATAGATCTCCGGACATTTGGTATCTCAGTGCCCTCAAGCCCCTGCTGGCATGGCCAGTGCTCAGGAATCCTGGAAGCTGAACTCCAGAACCTCTGGAGATTTCTGTTCTGCCCACTTTTGGCCCATTCTAGCCTTTCCCAACTGTCTCCCTCATCCTAACTCAAGCTGCAACTAATGGTGTTCTGGGCTTATGCTGCACAATGTGAAAATTTCACAAAACAAATTCATGTTTCTCTCTTCTTTCCTCCACCCCCCACCCAAAAAAAGCAATCTGTTCCAGAAGATCCTAAACCATTTAGTCTGAGGTAGATTTGAGGGGCTGCCTTCCTATATGGGTGCTAGCTAGAAGGGTTTGATCCTAGCAGCATTCATGCACTATAATCACCCCTCCCAACTCCTCATTGGGAGTTTTTCCTATAAACAAGCCCTGTCTGCATACACACCCCACCTGTCATTTGTGATAGAAATATGATTCCGTATGTGCAAAGGCTGTACAATAAGATTCTGTCATGTTGGTTATTTGCTTATTGATGTGAGTTGCATTCTGATGTCTAGCCAAGCTGATAACTTGGGGAACATCTCACACCAAAAAGAAAACTGTTATGTTTTATGTTTGATTTAGACATCCATTTTAAAATACACAACTTTTCTGGTTTTGTTTTTCCCTTACATTCAGATCCGAACAATTGCTGAAAGAGAAGCCAAGCAAAAAGATGACATTCCACCAGAAGACAAAGGAAATGTTAAGCAATGTGAAATCAACTACGTGTATGTAGCAAGGGTTTTTTGCTATCTGTAAAAATTAAGGCAAGACAAGTGGTTCATAATGGAGCTCATAATGGAGTCTTCGTTTCTCTCCTACAAAACTTTGAAAGGCTTTGGATCCTGATGAGTGACTAAACTTGATAAAGCAAAACTTGTCTTCATATGTTATTAGTGCATATTAACCACCAACCTTTCTTCCCTGCCCATACCCATTTAACATTAAATCCTTGGTATATGCTACTGATGTTTGTAAGTGGGAACTGTAACAGGATTGCAACCAGCCATGCTCTTCCCCAAGATACTATAAGTTAAAGGGGGTGCAAACAGACTAATTGATTGCTTATTCTCCCATCCCTTATTTTCCAGTGTTTTGGGGTTTTTTTTACCAACACTTAATGTTCTGTAGTCCTCAGAGGCCACTCCTTGAGCATGGTCAGTCCAAAAAACCTGGACTGTTTTAATGGGGAGTGCATTGCTTTTTAAATATTTTGTATTTATGCGTGTCTCACTTTTCATTCAAACACATTGATACTACTTTTGTTTCTCATCTGCCACTTGGTGGGAGGGAGGCTGCAGTCCTGTTAGTTTGTTGCTAGAGGGAACAACTATAACATTCTGTTTAAGTAGAAGATATTTATAGGAATGCTCTTATCTCCAGGAAGAAGTTTCAGAGTTTTCAAGACCGTAAACTCAAAGTAAGCCAAGAAGACACAAAAGCTCTGAACAAAGCTAGGAAAGAAGGCACTTTTCATGAGACCTTGCTGGACAGGTACCTTTCCCATTCAGGCAGTTGTCAAAGGTTCTGAGTAACAATGCTAACCATTTCTGTAAATATTTATTGATGATAAACCTCATGTTCTCTTTTCTGCCACACCCAAAATCAGATTAGGCGAAATTATGTGAAAATTGCATCTTTCAGACTAATGCAATTCAGCTTGTATGAGGTTAGTAGTCCGCAAGCTTGCATTCTCCACTTCTTCAAAACAAGGGTACAGTCAGTTCAAAACCCATACATGAAATGAAGACAATCGGACATGAGGGAGCCTTCAAAGCTCTTCAAGCCTGGCTTGAGTTCATTTAATGTTCCCATCAGAGGCCTGGGCTGTAGGGCAAGGGCCAGATGCAGCACACTGGCCTCAGATTCCCCCAGTTCAGACAATTATTTTGTAGTAGAATCGCAAATTGTTTATAACAGTCCTATTTCCAGGTGCCTTTGCATTCAAATCACCTAGTGGGGTTATCTTTGTCTAATGCACTTTTTAATCACTGCAGTAACTAACTTTTAGACAGACTCTATCCCATTCGCTCAGCCTTTCTGGTATGGCAAGGCAAGAGATGCAGTGTGGTTTGTAAACACAGACAGTATATTTAAGGGCTGGTTTACAAAGATGTGTGTACACTGGTTGTTACCTTATCACTTGGTCTCGCTAAAGTTTAGTTTACATGAGGGGAAGCAGCAGTTTCAGGAAGGGTCCTGAATGTACCATGCTACCCAGTCCAGGTCTTTGCAGCCCCGACTGCAGGGAGCAAGCAGCACAAAGGAGAATCATAGTTCAGAAGTTAGCAGTGGTGATTCCTCCAGGGTACAGTACTTCGAGACTATGACCCATCTCCTGCAAGAATCCAAGAAGGCTTGGACAGGGAACCTCTGGTTTCTGTCTTTGTTTGACCTAAAACCAAACAGCTTATAAAATACTCTAATATTGCATCTACTTTGTTGACTGTTGCATTAGATTGATGTCAGTTATTTTAATCCATCCTTTTCCCCTTTGTCTTATAGGAGAGCAAAATTGAAAGCTGATAGATACTGCAAATAGTCAGAAGAGCAGCTGGCCTGTTCATGTCCTGTCTTCTTCCTTTATTGGTGGTTCTTTGTGTAAATTCGTTTGAATAAAACTTTTTTGTTGGAGTACCTTTTAATTATTCTATGAAATCATTTTTCTTTTGAAAGTAAAGTGTTCATGTTAATATGATGAACATTTCCATTCATGTTTCAGTTTGAACATCTCTCTCCTTTACCATGAAGTGAAGTAATTGTGGTCAAGTTTGAGAAGTCTGTAAACTCAATGCATAGTGAGACAACATTCTTACCTGGCTTACATTATATCACGTGAAAATATCCACAGCTCATAACCTGTGGATACAATCTTTGACTGGGTTTGCACCACATGGTAACCCATCATGGGTAACCAGCACATATGGGTTGCCATATTTTCCAAACTACACTGCTTTTTGCAGGGCAACAGGCCACATGGACAGCCTATGGCTTGTTCTAGTGGTTGTTGAACCCATGGTGGGTTGTCATCATCACCTGAAGCTGATGTAACAATCCCATTGTAGATTGTATAAAGTTACTACTGCACAACTTGGCATGAGCAGTGAGATACACTTGCCACTTTTGGCAATCTCACCTGTGTTGCAGCCAGTGACATTCCCTCCATTGATGCTCAAGAGGCACTTACAGCAGCCATCATTGGTTTTCTAGGTTCTTATTTTTTCAGCAGCAGAAATGCATACAAATGACTTCATAACACTACTGGGTTCTTCCAGACTGGTCAACTGCCTTTCCATTTTAACCAGTCTTCCCTGCTTTCTTAACTTGGGGTTGTGGTGGACAGCTGATGAAATGTATGGCTGCTGTGAAGAACATGAATTCCATTTAGGCATAATGAAACTGCCAAAATCATGTTCTAGACAATTCTGTGGTGCAGCTGCATGATCAAGAAGCTGAAGCAACTCCCTTATGAGTTACCCATCCCCTGCAGGCTCCAGAGTTGGTATGGAAAGAGCCACACTTGGTGTGAGATCAGAGGGTGCTCTGAATTCAGAACTCCAGCTCTGACCTCAAAACCCATTTCAGTGGTCAGAGCTGAGGCTCCAAATGTCCCTCTGCATCTAGCAGCCATAGGATTGGATCCCAGTTCCTGCAAGGTGTTGAGCACTCTAGCTTCACTTAATTGAAAACTAGGCAAGCTGATCCCCTACAAAGGTTTTAAATCATAATTCTCATAATCCCTCACCATGCTTTTAGAAGGACTCAAGAAAAGCAAATTGTCTTTAGCATACAGAAAAAGAACACAGTTCTGAGGCAGGATGACAATCACAGCAACATTTGAACCAGTCAATAAATCTTTTAATTGTAGGGTGCTTTGTAATTTTACAATCAGAATACCAAGGGTTATTTATTTTTCCTTCAAAATAAAGTTTCCTTTAATAGAAGAACAACAGGTTACAACTGGAGAGATTTACAGGTAAGTGGTGGGAGGGGAAGTGGGGAGAGAGTAGTAATAAGATAAGCAGAGGGCTGGAAAAAGGGCTAAAGTGTCTGCAGGAGTAAGAAAAGCTTCAAGGAAGGGGGTGTAGACAAGCTCTAGGTCATACTTGTAACACAGGTGGGTGGAGGAGACCTGCTTGAGATGCAGGGAGGTGAGCTGTAGGAGAAGTAAAAGAAGCACAGTGCTAAGAGGAGCCAGGCACAGTGGGGCAAGGGAGAGAGCTAAAAAGTCTTCTCCTGTCTTGTCACCAAGAAGGGGAAGGGGAAGGAGAGAGCAAGTGAGGCTTTGGTGCTCGGCGAGATGGAAAATGGTCCAGGGAGCCAAAACTGCTATGGTGTGGAGTAGGGTGTATAATAATAACCATCACCTGCCTAGTAGTTCAGGTGGGAGCAAAGGCAGGAGGGGAAAGGAAGAGTATAAAATGTATTGCAAAGCGGTGGTAAGGTTGGGTGGTGGACACTGGGTTAGGAGAAAGTCAAGCTGCAGTTCATTTTGGACACTCTAGGAAGACGTGTTTGGGATGGATGGGGAGGGAGGGTTGAACTCACAGCTGGGCAAAAGTGGGAAAAGTGAGAGGTTGCTTACTGTTTTCAATAGGAACAGACTAAGTAAAGGATATCGATCAGGAATGGAGTGGGGGAGAAAAGAAAGTTTCTGAAGGAAGGGGAAAATTTATCAGATCAACTGTGAACAGGCCACCTAAATAGAGAAGAAGTGATGGTCCTTGGGTGCGGGGAGGTAGGATTAGGTGGGAACAGAACCCATCCAATCAAAACCATCGTGGCAACCACCCATTTTGGTTGTGATGTATAAACCTGTCTAATGTGTGTGTCAACAGAACCATTGCATAAACTTGTATTCATGTTCTTTTGCAAGTAGGGTGGGTTACAGCTTATCCAGGTTTTGACATCCAGTACCTGATCAAATATGCTGATTAAAACCAGTCTGATGATAATGAAAGTCATGCATGACTTAAGTAGTTCTTACAGTTTATACTGCAAGTGCTGAAGCACAGTTTCTTATCTTCACAGTTCCCAATTCCTCCATAGGTCTTATGTTCAAACTTTTGTTCCAAGGCTAATTTGTGAAATGGGTTAAATAGCTGAGCTGCACTTGGCAATTTGAAAAAAGAAAAAGCAGAAGAATGATGCATCATTTCATACAAGATGAGAGACACTGGCTATGGTATCCCAATGCCCTGTAATAAGATCTGAATGTTAATAGCCAGAAAATGAAACACCACTGATTTGTAATAGTCCTAAAAAACAAAAAAGTATTTGCCCGTGGTCAGTCTGATGAAAAGGGCTTCCTTTTATAGTGCACAAAGCATGCATCTCCTCCCTTAATGATCGAGACAGGATTTTATTCCTGTCTGGGCTACACATCCATTTGAAGAAACCTAAATTTTATGTTGCCCTTAACCACCCAATGAAATGATTGGTTTAATTAAGGTTCTAAAATATTCATTGTTACGACTAGAGAATTTTGCTCTTCAAAAGGAACCAGGGCAACCTTATTCATACTACAAGTGTGCCTTGTCCTATTTCCTTCAAGGCCTGTCAGAAATAGTTTCCTGCTCTGAAACCGCATTTTACCACTAGAGCCTTGACACTGAAATAGAGGAACAAAGAAAAACAAAACAAATCCAGTAGACCTAAGGCATATAACAGCACATGCCTGAAGACTGCGAAGATAAAATAGAGCGGAGGAAGACTGGGTAAGCCACCTTGGGTTCTTTACAGGAGGACAAGATATAAATACAATTCTGCCTTGATGATAAGGCAGAATAACAGTAATAAATCTCAGCAGAGCTAAAGCAACCATATGGAAATAATTCACATAAAATAACCTAATCCAGCAGGTTGAAACCAAGCAGGATCACGAATGTAGGCTAGAAGAAATAGAATGCATTCTGTATAAGGCCCACAAGATCTCCACCAGGGAAGGCAGCATATGCAGCAGAGCTGGGCACTTGTTTCAGCAAGACAAAAGAAATACAGTGGTGGTGAAGAGGCTTATCAGCAGCCACATCCCTGGCACAGGTGCCAGTAAGCATCCCTTCCTGATTATCTGGCAAATACCAGCACAATCCTGTGGTCCCTAGACAGCTCCTAGTCGGCCATATGATTTTTCAGGGTCCTAGCTCTTGACAGCTGAGTTGGGACTTCCCACTTGCAGTGCCCCCCACCCCCTCCCACCCTGCAACTGGAGCAAAAGAACCATTCTCAGAGATTTAGGGAGCATTTAGGGGGTTGGGGACAGGCAGGGGAGGAAGTTGGGGCTGCCAAGATATACCACATCCTGGCAGCAGCTCAGACTCCTTCCCACTTGCTGCAGAACATAGCAGTGAGACAGCTAAACTCAGCTGTCTTGCTGCTTTGCAGGGCAGGAGAGCAGGCAAATTTCCCATCCATGCTTCTTCAGAATGCCCATAATCCTCTGAGTTCCTCTTTAGATTGCACTGGAAAACAGCTAATTCTCTCTTTTTAATTCAAGGCTGTATTATGCCACAGATGACTAATTTAGAGTCTAGGGGCCAATGGATTTTTAAATCTCTCTGTAAGCCTGGTCAAGGAAATCCTCACTAGCCTTTGCATTACGTGTTCAAAGTTTGCAAGCAAGGTTTCCAGTGAGACTCAGACTTTCAGGCAGACAGCTTATTTGCACCCACCTCAGAGTAAGTCCCATGGAATTCTGCAGGACCTAAGTCTTGCGTAAGCACGGAGAGGACTGTACTTGCAGATTTTAAACCTGTACCATCCGGCCCCTGCTTATTCTAAAGTATCGTGCAAGTCTGCTTTTATCTCTGTAAAGAAGTTGGTTACTTCCCATTCATAGTGATTGCTCTTCACCCAATCATCACTGTAGGCAATGTCCACTTCTCACCTTTGCACCAGTTCCCTCATCAGAGTACTGCTTGATGGGGATAATTTAGCAACAGTATGCTAATATCTTGTAATTACACCTTTAGATTTTTAAGATGATCAAGGCTTAAAATCAGCATAGGGCAAATTGATGAGACATGTAATAAATAATGGAATTCTCATCACATTCCCTGCAGTGTCTTGGCTGAGTCTCATGTGACTTTATGCAAATATAAATCCGATGCAAATGAAATATTTAGAAAAGCCCCCGTCTGTCTTAAGTTGATCGAAACTGCATATATGACTGGGAATGGTTGCTATGCTACTTTGAATGGCTTACAAAGTTGGAAAATCACTTTGAAGAACTGTAATAGACCTATCTAGTTTATGTTGTTATCGCACCCTGTGAGATAGTCTGGAGGGGGCTGTGCAGCCCTTGTGGTAGAAGGATCCCATAAAACTGTCAGTTGTGTGATGCAACACTCCACATGGGGCGCTGCACACACAACGACAGCCACCTACACAAGCACTTTTTTGACTTGCTGTCTCCACACAAATAACAGTAGCCATGAAGCAGAAGTCACATGCATTTGTGTCAATGGATACAACCAGCCCCTTCATGCAATCCTTGCTTTATCTCAAGCCCTGCTGGTATTCCATGCCTTCCTGCAAGCCATCAAGAAGTCAAAGCGATTCATTGTTTGAACAAAGCCTGCCCTTGCTCTCTTGGGGAAATTGAGCAGGGGCAGACAAACTGTCCATGCATTCACAGTATGTGCATATTATCCATTTTTACATAAGCTATGCATATGATTTTCCTGTACCATTTTTATTACTGTAGTTGCCAGAAGGGCCAGTTTTGGCTGAAAGGAAAGGTATGAATTTTATATATAAATGCCAGGCCAGGCCAAGTGAAAATGTTGGCCCAGTTCACAGCTGCAGTGAAGAAGCAAAGGAAAAAACTCCATGCAAGGCATAATTGGGAACTGAATAGAAAATAGAACTGCCAAAACCCTACTTTCCTTATACAAATCTTTGATGCGACCCCACTTGCAATATTGTGTTCAATTCTGGTCACCATACCTAAAAAAGGACATTACTGAGTTGGGAAAAGTGCAGAGAAGGGTAACAAAAATGATCAGGGGGTTGAAGCAGATCCCCTATGAGGAGTGGCTTTAACAACTGAGTCTGTTCAGCTTAGAAAGAAGGAGAGTAAAGGGAGACGTAATTGAGGTGTTTGATGGTCCCAGTGAGGGAATCAGCTGCAGCACATAGTCCCAACTGGGCACCACCCTCTAGCCAGCTGCTTCTCAACCTGCTTCTCACACAAGAAGGGCAAGAGCGGGGACACTGCTGGTGCCACCATGAGAAGCTTTGCTCTGGCACTTGCAGACATGGCAGAAGCAGGATCAACTATGTGGCAATGCTGCTTTCGGCAGCATGGTCTCGCCCCTGCCGGTAGATGGCTCGTGTGTGCAAGGAGTTTCAACAGGGCAGAAAAGAAAGAATCTGCAGCAGCCCACAGCCAGCCAGATTTTCACCTCTCTGCTCATGTGGAAGCAGCAGAGAATTAAATGGCCAGTGCTACTCCCAGCACTGACCAGCTGATCACCTGCTCCTGCCCCAAAGTCGATTATTGTGTCGATGCAACAAGTGACTGTGGTACTGAGAAACCATAGAACAGACTGTTTTTGTTTGTGATTACTCAAAAGCAAATATACCATGCTGAAATACTATGACCAGGTTCAGACAATATGACAGCCTCATTAAGAAACACCCTTGCATGTTAAGTCATGGGAAGCTGCCTGGATTGGCACACTGTTGCTGCCAGCCACTTTGCTTTGCTTTCTAGTAAGGGAGACAAAGTGTGGAGAGCAAGCAAGAGAGATTAGGTTTGATTCTGCCTCTTTGCCCCGGTGTGGGTCATTGTAGCCTATGAATTAAGGTAAATCCCTGAATGCAGCGTTTTAATTTTGAGACAACTCTAATGAAGTACAAGGAACAAAACAAGGAATAAATGCACTTACTCTGGTCTCTAAGCAGAGATCTAATGAAAAACAACAGATCAAAAGCTGGGCCCAATTAGCAAAACATCAGTAATTAAAGCAAAATGAAAGGATGGGCAATCAGGTTTGTCAACTCAATAATTGAGTTTGACAATTCAGTGTTGAGGTCAATAAGCTATGGGATCAAACTATGCATCATTATGGCACTGAGCCCAGAAGGGTTCACTAGAATGATCCCACACAACCAAAAGAAATTGCAGGCAAAAGGCCAATAATTAGTGTCTCCAATTTACCACTGCCAGCCTTCCATTGTGAGGCAGGTCACATAGCCACATTTCTTAACCACATCTTTTCAAAATAACCCAATTCATGTACTGCCAGCCAATTCTCTGTCTCTTACCCTCATCATTAATCCAGATGCCACAGTTTAATTTCTGGCTGTCACTCACGTGCAACATTATTTTACAAAGGCACCTGCTGATGGCTGGACTTTTCCAATGACATTATCCAGTTTAATTCAGGGTATGGAAGATGTTTTGGAACTAGCCAGACAAAAGTAACTTGTAAAAGTCAGACAAAATAGTAGGGGAACTGCCACATAAGGACCATTTCCATATAGTAATTGTGGCATCTAGACAAGGAAGAAGATACCCATGATTTTAAAATTACTCTTTTTCTGCTTTCTCTATATTCTTGTTCTGCTTAACAGTTCAGCAACCAATCTGTCTCTTCTTTTGTTACATACTTTGAAAATTGGCATAATCTCTCTAGGTTACTCATACTTCTTGCTAGAGCCTGGAAGGCAACCTTAAGAATAAAATTACCTTCCCTATACTTGGCTGTAATTTGTACAATTTGAATGCATCTGTTTGTTTGTTAAAATAGGTGTTACTGATACTGGCCTAGTTTCCTAAGTGGAATAATTGTCTACCCAGAAGTAAGCCCCACTGAATTCAATGCTTACGCTCAGGTCAACAGGTTTTAAGATTCCTTATAGGTCGGCTGGACACGGAACAGCGGAATAGAAGGGCATACAATAAAAACATGTTCTCCAAGGGGTCCTTTTCATCTCAATTTTCTTCCTCAACTTCCCAGGAAGGCTGAGAAAACGGGGCTGCTCCAAAATGAGGGCCGCAGAAAAGAAGAGGAGAGAACCACTGCCTTCCTCCTCCACCCCTCGTCCCGTTCCGAATGGTACCTCCCTTACAGGAGCACTTCACAAACTTTCGCTGCCCCCTCAACTGTTACTGGTAGATTCCCAGAGGCGTGTCACGTGGCGGGAGCGGAGTCATATGATATCAGCAGCGGCTTCCTGCTTTCAGAGCCTTGAAGCGAAGTTTTGACGACCGGGGGAGATCGGAGCGGCGGAGGCAGGAACGATGCGTGTGCCCGTGCTTGCTGCCGCGGCCACGCTGCTGGTGGTCGTGCTGGCCAAGGACCCGGTGAGTTCCGCGGAGCCGAAGCGTAGAAGGGCGAGTCCTACTTCCGTAACGGCAGCCACCTCTGCCGCTGGGGTGCTGGGAGTGTAGTCCAGCAAAATCTGGAGGGCACCAAGTTGGGGAATTGTCCGTTACCCATGCCCCCCCACCCCCGACAGAGTTTAGTTTCTACGCAGAGAAGCGCCAGGGCTGGTACACATCGTTATTTATTTCTATTAATATTTTAGTTGTATACAATTTTAATGCTATAAGCCGCGTCGAGTCTCGGTAATGAGAATCTTCAAAATGTTAATATAATAATAAGAAAGGGTAAGATTGACCCTGTGTAGAGAAAGGCCAAGCCTAGCCAGCTATTTTCAGTGCAAGTATTTTCTTTTACTGTTGATTTTATTGCTTTATGTTATTGTCTTATTGTTTGCTCAAACTTTTATTGTAAGCCACCCAGAGAGTCCTTTGGGCTGTAGGGCGGCATGTATAATAAAGAAGGATTAAGTCCTGCAACCCACACAGATACTTTTTAAAAGGCAAACGAGAGCTCTTTGGGTTAATATGATAAATGAGACTAAGCCTTGTAACCCACACAGGTATATTTTTAAAGGCGTATTCCTGAGCTGGTGCAGAGTGTGTTTCTATTGAAGGGGAAGGGTTGTTAGGTCAAAGGGGCTCGATAAAACAACTTGAGCCCTTCCCCCACACCCGTTGTCCAGGAATTCATCACTTGTGGTAAGGCTGCTGCATTCTGCAGATGCTTATGCCATTGTACTGTATGTACATTCATGAAGGTTCAGTGGTCATGGTGGGCAGTGATGATATGCTGTGGCATAAATTGAACTTAGAATATAATGCCCCAAGTGGTCAGGCAGATGCCTGGGATGAGGAGTTCTGCTCAAGCTTTAGATGGAGAGTCAGGTAGATGGGCTGGTACTTGCCTACTATCCCTCAAAAGAAATTTAATCGTTTTCCAGTTGCATTACATTTGTGCTACCTGTGGATAGCATTAGATGGGGAACTGTCTTGACCCTGTTCAGACCATGGTCTGTCCTATGGTCTAGCAGATGGCTAGCTGGAGGAGCAGCAGATTTTACTGGATCATTTCATTATTATTATTTTTTAATTCCACTGGAGTGTTGTAGAAAAGTGGAATCAGGCCACACTCCAAAGCAGTCTTCAATGAAGTTCACTGGAAGAAAGCATATAATTGACTTGCAAATACCATCCAAAATCAGTTATGTACATTAGCCCTTAATCATATACTTGGGCTACACCTGGTAGAGGAGGAAAATCTGAATACCTCAAGGGCTTTGAAAGCTGTGCAGTGAGGACTATCCAATAGTTTTCTTAAAATTCAGAAATGTCTGTACACGTCAACTGAATCTAAAGCAGGGTTTGCTGACTGGTAGTCTAACAGATGTTTTGGCTGTTAACTCCCATAAGCTCTACCCAGAGATGAAGGATAATGGGAGTTGTATGCTGGAAGGAGACCCATCCTTGGTCTAGAGGGATGAAAATCTGTGTTTGATTTTTAAAATGCCTCCCATCCATTTATTCTTCTGTCTTAACAATATTCTGAAGTGCCATACCAGTGCTTTGAAAGCATTCTTGGACTCTTGTATAAATATCCTTGGTCTGGTTTTTATAAGCACTGGCAGGTGATGTTAAGCTGCTCTGGTGCTTTAATCTCTCTTTGTTCTCAGTATGCAGAGTTACCCAGGTAACAAGTGCTCATGACTAAATGGTTTAGTTGTGATTAAATGGATTTAAGAACCTAATTTTAGACACAATATCTCACAAAACATTGAAGAGTTGTTTGGAGTATAATCTTCACCAGCATTTAAGAATTTATAAGTGCAACCTGCTTTATTCAGCAGATTCCCCCAAACCTCCTGTGTAAGGTCTTCCAGGAGTGAGGAGGAAGGGGTGGGTTGTCTGCTCCTACCAACCCAGTTGTATGTACCCAAATCTGAATTAAACCAAATACATGTACTTTAACATCTTAGGTTTCCTTGTTTTATTCCGCTCTTATTCTCCCTGGATATTCCAGCCTTCCCAAAACTTGTGTCCTCCAGATGTATTAGACTAAAGATCACAGTATGATCTATAGTCAGAGATGCTATCTTATCCAAATATCTGGAGGACACCAGGTTGGAGAAGGCTGGAACAAAGGATCCTTTTTTTCTTACCTTGTTTAAGGAACATATTTGATTAAGACATTCAGTTCAAGTCCTGAGGAGCCTAGCTTTGCTTTTGTGAGGTCCTGTGACCTAGGAAACCAATTAGTTTGCAAAGTAGTGAGTGCTGCAGTTTGTGTTGATAATCCTATCTAAATTAGCTTTTCATCCAGACAGAGCAACGGTGACAACACAGGGGTTCGGATTTGCTCAATAAGCAACTTAGAGCAAAGTGTTCTAATAAACTGCCTGGTTATACTTCCATTTCCAATGTCAAAGGAGCCCCCCTTTCCCTTCTATTTTGCTTGCCTTTTCTGTTTTTTGTTTGGATTTTTTTAGTGTGCCACATTTTAAACTGTCCTCCTGCTTTATTACAAAACTGGCTGATCTCAAGATAAAGCAAGCCTCTTGCTTTTTCTCAGAAAGAACTATCTCCTCTTTCCCCGGGGACATTGGTCCAAACCCTGCCAATCCCATGTCTATTGAGCTATCAAGTTCAAGCTCATCCATGGTTAGAGAGCAAGGGAATTAAACTTCCATTGGTTTAATGATCCACAGAGGTCCAAGTTGTTCAGACAATTATGTCTTTAATAGGCAGAAATATGAATGAACCTTGTGGCCATGCACGCAGTCTCTTTGATTTTTCCCTTTGTAGGAGCAGACAAGCTAGCAAATCTTCAATTAATTAGTCATTCTCCAATTAACTATTAAAGTCTGATGCTAGCTATTTTGCAGGCTTTGGCTTTGTGTTCAGGCATGTTCCAAAGACAGTAACTGCAGGTTCCCAGTTGTCATGAACTGGGAACCATGGGGTGGTGTGCTGAGATGCATTCATATCCAATGGATATAATTGAGTCATGCACCACCCAAGGAACTTTGTTCTAAGTGTGCATGCCAGCAGGCCAAGTCTTTAATGTAACATCTGTGCAAAAGTAAGTGGCTGAAAGGAAGGAGCCCTAGTGACCCTAAGATATGACCCTAAGAGGCTTCGGCAAGGGGCGGCATAGAAATGTTCTAATAATAATAATAACAATAATAATAATAATAATAATAATAATAATAATAAGTCTTTTAAGCTGCTGCAATGTCTTCTGTGGCATTCTTTACCCTCCCAACATATGCAGTAGTGCCTGTGCTCAGTAACCACATCTCGATGGCATCTCACCCTTATTTTCTTGCAGCTGGTGTCTTTTGACACAGTTTCAATATTGCATTGCCTGCTGCTCATCAGGTGATTGTGTCTTCCTGTTTTTATAGCTGCTTGCAAATTAACTTGATGCTTTGAAGAGCCAAAAATGTAAGGAAAGACTTTGTGTGTGGGCGGGGGGGGGGGGACTCAGTGGTTCCAAAACAATTAAATGGATTAATGTGCATGAAAGCTTCTAGGCCTGATTTCATTAAATAGCAGCAAAATTAGTTGTCCTTCTTTTAAAAGTATTGCACAAGTAGATATTTTGGGGGGGGGGGGCGTTCATGTTGAATAATTACATCAAACATGGAAACTCTACAGTACTAGCTAACATGAATGGATACAGAGAACTATTGTTGTGTTCCATGTGACAAAATTCAGGAAAAAGTGAGTAAGGGGAGGCACAAGGTGTACTAATTGCCACCAGTTTGGCTGCCTTTAAAAAGGGGTTGGACTAATTTATGAAGAAGAAGGCTATAAATGGCTACTAGTCCTGATGACTGTATGCTACTTCCAGGATGAGGGGTGGTCTGCCTTTGTGTACCAGTTGCTGTAGAACATGGGTGGAGTCTGCTGTTTTACTCTTCTCCTACTCCTGGGGTACACATGGCTAGCTGACTGGCCATGGCACGGACAGAAATGAATAAAGTATGTCTCTTATGCCTTAGTGGATTCTTCTGTGTGTGTGCGGTAGTGATGTCATGCAAACCCAGCCTGATTCAGCCAGGATGGCTTATTTGAGAGCAAGCAGCCATCTTGACAACTCATAGGTTGTTCTAGTGGTTGCTGTAGGGCATGATACGATGTAGCAACATCTGAACCTGGGATCAGTTTCTGGCTCACTTCTGAAGTACAGCAGAAACCCTTTGCTGCTTTTGCCAAGTGTACCCAGGCAGCACTTGGGGGTAGCTGTCACTTGCTTTCTCCTCTCCCCAGTGCAGTTGCAGCCTCACTGTCGTATTCCCCCTCCCCACCCACCCCCGTTGTCTGCAAACCTTTTTCTTCAAATGCTGCTGTCAAGTCAGCTTTCATGATCCCTATGGACAGTCCCTTCAAAGTGTTCCCATGGCACCCGGGAGGGGCCGTTGATGGCTGTGAAACCCTTATCATAAATTATACTGAGTGCAGTTGTGCAACTATGGGAATGTGAAGTCTCAGCTGGAGCAATGTCTTGGGAAAGTGCCTGTTGCCAAGAGGCATTTTCCAGAAGATGCTCTGTGATTTCTCTGCAGTACCACCTTTAGTTATCCTTGGCAGCTGTCAGAAGGGGAGCTACCAAAAGAAATCAAAGAGGCAAGAGAGCTTTGTACAGCAAATGGGAGTGTCCTGGGATTTACATTCCTTTCCGTGCAAGCTCTTTTGTTATTCACTGTGAAGTATACCCAAAGGGGAAGCAAATCCATTCAGAGGCTCTGCTTAGCAGTGTTCAGGATTGGACCTGCTGCACCTCGGCAGGCACTTGTTGTTGTTAGTCGCAAAGTCATGTCCAACCCATGGACAACATTCCTCCAGGCTTTCCTGTCCTCCACCATCCCCTGGAGTCCACTCAAACTCACACCAACTGCTTCAGTGACTCCATCTAAACACCTCATTCTCTGCTGTCCCCTTCTTCTTTTGCCATCTATTGTTCCCAGCATTAGGCTCTT